TCTATCTATCTATCTATCTATCTATCTATCTATCTATCTATCTATCTCTATCTATCTATCTATCTATCTATCTATCTATCTATCTATCTATCTATCATCTATCTATCTCTAGCTCTATCATTTCACCACATTATAAAAAATGTTGAGATTCTAGAACAGGGGTGTCAAACTCAAGTTGTCACAGTGGCATCACGTGACATATCTGGACTTTTTTCCCCCTTTGCTAAACGGGTGTGGACGTTGCCAGCACATGACACATCTGGGCTGCAGGCCGTAAGTTTGACAGCCCTGAGTAGAAAGAATGCAGAGAAAAGCAACCAGGATGATTAGGGGACTGGAGACTAAAACATACAATGAACAGTTGTAGGAACTGGGCATGGCTAGTCTAGTGAAGAGAAGGACCAGGGGAGACAGGATAACAGTGCTCCAATATTTGAGGGGCTGCTACAGAGAGGAGGGAGTCAAGCTATTTTCTAAAGCCAAAGGCCAGACAAGGAATAATGGATGGAAACTGAACAAGGAGAGATTTAACCTGGAAATAAGGATAAACTTTCTGACAGTGAGAACAATCAACCAATGGAACATCTTGCCCTTGGAAGTTGTGGGAGCTTCATCACTGGAAGCTTTTAAGAAGAGATTGGACTGCCATTTGTCAGAAATGGTGTAAGGTCTCATTTGGGTGGGGGATTGGACTAGATGACCTATAAGATCCCTTACAACTCTGTTAATCTGTGAAGATTTCCATCTGTATATCTGTATCTGCATTTGTCTATGCCTATCTCTGTCTGTCTCTGCCTCTAATTCTCATCATCTCTCTCTCCCCCGCTCCTTCCCCCCTCTCACCCATCTGTCTGTCTGTCTGTCTGTCTGTCTATCTATCTATCTATCTATCTATCTATCTATCTATCTATCTATCATCTACATTAGTGTGCATAAGAGGAAAACATTAATGGAGTCTGAATAAGTAAGAACACAGTACCTTAAGTAAATACAAATAAAGTACTATTATAAGATGTTCTAATCCCAGCATATCATACAAATGGTAGCACAGAACTGGGTGATTTGTAAGGTTATTTTTTGAGTTTTTGTCTGAGATTAATAGCATTAATCTCAGACAAAAACTCAAAAAAGAGAAGGGACGCGGTGGCTCAGTGGCTAAGTCGCTGAGCTTATCAACCAGAAAGGTCAGCAGTTCAGTGGTTCAAATCTCTAGCACTGTGTAACAGAGTGAGCTCCTGTTGCTTGCCCCAGCTTCTGCCAACCTAGCAGTTTGAAAGCATGTAAAAATGAAAGTAGAAAAATAGGGACCTCTTTGGTGGGAAGATAACAGCGCTATGTGTGCCTTCGCCATTTAGTCATGCCGGCCACATGACCATGGAGACCTCTTCAGACAGCGCTGGCTATTTGGCTTGGTAATGGAGATGAGCACTGCCCGCTAGAGCCAAAAATGACTAGCGCGTATGTGTGAGGGGAACTTTTACCTTTACCTTAATAGCATAAATAGAAATTGCATTCCCTACCTGGAAATTGCTTCAGGACAAGATATATTTTATATTCTGCTATCTTTAAGTAATGCAATGTCCACTATTCAGATATTTTTGGGTATCTTGTCAACAATTGTTAAGCCTGGGGTTTTGTGTGGCAGGTGCTTATCTGCTTGAATTCTGAAGTCCTTGAGTTCTTTAGCTTCTTCTTGTTTTTCTCAACAATGTTAGTTGCAGCTTTGAAGAATGCACTGCTAAGTACAAGTGACAAATCAGAACTGTTTTCAGAAATGGAGAGAGAATCAGGTAATGTGGTGGGAAGTAAGAGGATCAATGAGTAATGTATCCATATTTCCATTCATTTTCCATATTAGTATCCTTGGAGGAAAGGGAGAATAGCTCTATGAAAAATACATATCCACTGGGCATGTAATGCAGGCCTAAGTTAAAGCATCCCCAATGGGTGAGAATCAAACATAATGTGGTAAAACTCTATATCTATTCTTTGTTCCAGACTTGAGCCCTGAAGATAGGACATAGCCTTTGCCAAAATAGTGTCATCCCAATGTGTTTGATGGTTGTCTATGCTGTCTTGAATAATTTATAACCTGAATAAACTATTCTGAATATCTGGATACAGCATATAGTTTTATGGTAAACTATTTTCAGTTTGGAGTTGTGTAATTTTGATGGTGTGCATGTATGTTTACCAGTTCCTTGCAAATCAAAAATGACATATAAATGACATATTACCACTACCACTGCAAGCAAGAGGAAAACTTCCTACGTACAAAATCCACCCGCGCCTTCTACAATTTTGTTAACACCACACTTAAAGAATCAAGAACCATCCCACCCCTAAAAGGACCAAATGGGAAAGACTGCAATGATGAAGCTGTTAAGGCTCTTCAACACATTCTTCAGTTCAGTCTTTGTAAACAGCAATGGTTCATGCCCCACATTTCCTAGTCGTACCACAACTAACTGTAATGATCTGCTACATATTGACTTTACAGAAGATAACGTAGAAAAGGCACTACGAAACCTAAAATCATCCCTATTTATTGGCTCCGATAGATTATGTGCATACTTCTTTAAAAAGCTCTCTTCTGCCATAGCGGAACCCCTAAGCATTATATATGAGATATCTTTCAGAACCAGCTCCTTACCAAACCTATGGTCCTTAGCTACGGTCATCCCTATCTTCAAAAAAAATGACCCCAGCCTGGTTGAAAACTACAGACCAATCTCACTATGTTGTGTCACATGCAAAGTCATTAACTAATTCATCACTCTCCACTTAGAATCAAACAACCTACTCTCCAAAAAACAATTTGGTTTCAAGAAAAAATTATCCTGCAATCTACAACTCTTACACTGCAAAAACATATGGACTACTCTACTTGACCAGGGCAAAGCTATAGATTACATAGACTTCTGCAAAGCCTTTGATCCAGTGGTACATGACAAACTACTGTTAAAACTAAGCTCTTACAGCATTTCTGGGTCCCTCCATAAGTGGATAACTGCATTCCTGTCAAACAGGCAACAAATAGTAAAAATAGGGAGTACTATATCAAACCCTGCTCTGGTTAACAGTGGTGTCCCCCAAGGCAGCGTTCTAGGACCCACACTCTTTATATTCTATATAAATGACCTTTGCAATCACCTTATAAGCAACTACGTCCTCTTTGTGGATGATGTAAAACTATTCAACACCACTGACAATGCTACTGTCCTTCAAAGTAACCTTGATTATGTGTCTGAATGGTCAAACATCTGGCAACTCCAAATCTCAACCAACAAATGCTCTGTCCTACACATTGGTAAAAAAAATCAGTACACCAAATACAAACTAGGTGGATATGACCTCATTGATGATCCTCACTCTGTCAAGGACCTTGGAGTTCTCATATCAAATGACCTAAGTGCCAGAGCTCACTGTAACAGTATTGCCAAAAAGGCATTAAGAGTTGTAAATCTAATCTTACGAAGCTTCTCCTCCGGAAATATTGAATTGCTAACTAGAGCATACAAAACTTTTGCCAGACCAATACTCGAATATAGCTCATCAGTCTGGAATCTGCACTGCATATCAGATATTAATACAATAGAGCGAGTCCTGAAGTATTTCACGAGAAGAGTACTACACTCTTCTGCTTGCAACAGAATACCCTATATCACCAGTCTTGAGATGCATAAGTGCACCATCGTGCCTATCGTCCCTGTCCTATTGTCCCCATTTATTCTTACCTATTTCCTGTATTCTTACTCATGTTTATACTTATATCTATTACCTTGTAAGCGATTGACAAATCAAATAAATAAATAAATAAAATAAAAACATACCTGCTTTCTAACCTGAATAGTTCCTTCCACTGGCAGATTGTAAGCACTCCGAATCAGATTTTTTGCGATGAAATAATAATATACTGAAATAACAGACAGGGGGATTATGTAAAAGATGAGAAAGGAAGCCATGGACTGAATTTTCGGATGCAGTTCATTGGTAAGTGGATAAGGTGTGCAACTAATAAATGTTTTATTAGTGCCCTTGTCATAGAAACGACGCAAGTCTGAAAACACAGCCTCTGGAATGGCAAGCAGCATGGAGAAAATCCAGATTGTAGCAGCTTTCAAACAAATCTTCAGCAGGGCATGTGAAGCTTGGATGTCCATTGGTCTCACTATGGCTTTATACCTAAAGATAGGAGAAAGAGTTCTGTTATTGACCAAATCAGAGGATTTTTACTAGGACAGAACCATATTGAGCAGTGCTCTCTCTGGGGGCCAGGAGAGATGGTTCCTTAAATATTAAAGCAGGATTGCACCCTCTGCTGCATTTCTTCACCCTAGGCACTGAATCTACAGTATATTGAATTTTAGTATATCTTTTTAGTTGAACATGAATGGATGGTCGTTCATTTACAAAGACACTAAATCTCCTATGGAAACTTTGCAGAAGTCAAACTAGAGATGATGATAGCATCCTAAAAGTAATTAATAAGCAGATTTTTCAACAATTAAAAAAAAATTGCAGGAAACTCTTGAGCTGCAAGTATAAACAGGGAGTCTTAATTCTTTCATTTGCCATAATTAATCTCCATTGAAAGGAAAGCATCTACTCTTGTCAGTGGCACATATTTCCATCTGCATATAATAGTTTCGATGGTGTCTATTTCCAAACCACAGAAATAAATGTTTCTTCTTGTCTTTAATTTCCCATAGCTGATATTGCATATTGCTAAGTGTGCATATTTATTCTATGTATGGTTAATTTTGGAGCTGCATTTAACATCAACATATGCCAGATAATGCTTTCCTTGTTTCTTACCCAGTTTTCTTCCATGTTTCTTTGAATTACAGTACCACAGACTCAGCGGTGGGATTCAAATTTTTAACAACTGGTTCTCTGGGCATGGCTTAGGTGGTGGGCATGGCTTGGTGATCATGTTATTGGCTGGGTGTGGCCAACTCAATATCACTCACATCGAGGCATGCATCTCCTCACTTGGCCTATCATGACTGTGGGGATGCTGCAACAGTCCTAAGTGTGAAAAATGGTCATAAGTCACTTTTTTCAGTGCCATTGCAACTTTGAATGGTCATTCCACACAAGCAAAGTACCAGCAAAGGAGGGGAAAAAAACTCCGGAGAAGTTCCTGAGACAGGAAGTCTAGTCCTGCCAAGAATGTAATAAGGGTTAACGGAGAGGTACTTTCTGTAAGCAACACCAGAATGTTTCCTTCCTGCCTTTCTTACAGGATTAGGCCAGTAATTTCTTCTAAGAACCAGTTCTCCAAACTGCTTAGAATGTTAACAACTGGTTCTAGCGAATAGGTGCAAACTGGTAGAATCCCACCCCTACACAGACTGCATTGTAATTGTGGTTTCCTCAATGATGTAAAATTACTTAATTTTGCTAATTACATGTAAAAGGGAAGCTTTATTAGGGAATTGGTCACAATTATGACGTTTTGTGAAAAAGGTAAGCCATTGGTGACAAATGAAGTAATTTGTTATTTTCAATAAAATTCTCCAATATTTATCTATCAATTCAGATTGATGCAAAAAGATTTGCTTTGGGAAAAACAGGGAGTTTCAGGTAAATTGTCATGATTGAATTGCATTTAACAAATTAACAGAGTTGGAAGGGACCTTATAGCTCATCTGATCCAACTCCCCACCCAAGCAGGAGACCCTACACCAGGGGTATCAAACTCAAGGTGTCATGTTGTCACCATGTGAGCCCCTCAAATATTGGAACACTGCTATTTATGTCATCATGACATAGCCAAAGGTTGGATGTAATATTCTCCAGCAAAATGCGGCTTCATGGTCTTCCACACTTCAATTAAATTCCAGTGGAAGACCTGGGGCTTTTTAATATATCAACACTCCAGTTATTGCCAGAGGGGAGATCCATTATCCAACTTTTCCACTCACAGATTTGGTACAGAGTATTGAAAATATATTTTTTGTGTTCAGAATTAATTTAGAACTACACGTGCTGGCCTGAGACCAAACAGAAAGAAGTTTATTTGCCAATTTTGCTCTTAATGCTACTGTCATACTTTTGGTAGATCTGTGTATCGAATGGTTTGTTGGGATTTATTTTTTTCTTCACAAACTGATAAATTGGCTATCATGCTCACAATTGTTAATCAATGACGTTGATGTTTTGAGACCAAAAGTGTGCTGTCCCAGCCAGTCTTGTTTGATGCTTATCAATGTTTCCTGTTTTTTTTCCCTTAGTTATATAGTTATATGCTATTCAGTTAGTATTACTGTTTACTGCTTATCTTAATTTATAGTTAATTTTTTTTCTCTTCTTCTCTTCTTTTAATAGTGGAATTTACAATTCCAGGCGGGGAGTGTGCTGTCCCAGCCAGTCTATGGGAGTTGGATAGTTACTTAGGAATTGTGAGCTGTCCCCTTAAAGGAATGCATCATGGTAAATGTAGTTAAAGATATCCTGGGAAATGTACTTCATCTCATGTGGCTACATCTGTAATCCTGATGGGTCACTGAATTGACCTTTGGTGGGTTAAGGGAATTTTCCTCATTCTTTGTCTGAACTCTCTACCACATGGCATCTTCCTTCTATAGCTACGAGATGGGTTAGGAGATAACCATCTTTCACGTACAAGGCAGATATATGAAGGATTGGTCATTAAAGAAGAACTTCATCATAAATGTGAGTTATGAAGATACCTGATGTACCAATAAATGAACTTTGTTATGGAAGCTTTGTTGAGTTATCTATCTGCATCTGCACAGCTATTAATCTAGCTCTGTACAAGGCAGAACAAAAAGAAAAAAACCCTATTTCTCTATTTTACTCTTAATGTTATTGTCATACTTTTGGTAGATCCATGTGTCAAATGGTTATGATAACTACTTTCATCATTTGAGGCTGGAATCTTTCTTGATAAAACACTACATGGCTATTGTGCTCACAGTTGTTAATCAATGACATACAATGCTTCAAAATCTAGTTTTCAACAATGTGACCACTAACACCTGGTACTGTTAAATCAGTTCAGTGTCAAACACTATGTCATAACGAAATTTTCCATGCACTATATAAAAATGCATTGCTACAGGATTCAAAGTAGCTAATGTATGTCAAAATGAATCTATTATGTTGGAACAAGTCTGTGTCAAACACATCTTGGTCAATGTCAAACCACAGACTGATTTATGTTTGTTCTAGATGGCCATTCTTTGATAAGAAAAAGCAATATTCTAAAAGCAGTATTTTTAAAATGAATGTCAGTAGAAAGTTAATCAATCTTATTGGAACCAATAGCATATGAAAGGCTTATCTGTTATTTGATATTGCTCACTTTGATTATTACAGAATTTTAGTAAAGAAAATAATGAAGCAACTCAGCTACATATATTTTTAGAAGATATACAATGAAAATAACTTGGTTAAAATACTTATTTAACAGACTTGTGACCGTAACTGAACCCAACATTTCCGTTGCTCAGTAAGACATTTGTTAAATGAGTTTTGCCCCATTTTATGACCTTTTTGCCACAGTTTTTAATCACTGCAGTTCTTAAGTTAATAACATGATTATTGACTTTTCTTGTCAGAAGATTGCAAAAGGGAATCACATGACTGTGATGACCCGGAGTGTACCACAAATGTAACAAAAACCAAAACATAAATAAATGTTCTTTAATGCCTTCAACTTGGCTTCACTGTTCAATTGTTCACAGTTGGAGATTAAACTCTTTCCAAAATAACATTCCAAATGAAAGAAATATGGTCCAAATTCAAAGAGCAAATAACGAAGCAATAAAAAAACAAAAACAAACCGCACTGAAGAAAGTTCCATGACAGACCAGGATAATTAATTACAAACTTCAAGAAGATAACCAGGTATAGTCCATCGGAAGAATGCCAACCAAGATAAACCTCATCCAGGAATAAAACACTCTTTGTTTCTAGTGTTTGCTAGCATGCAGGTCCAAACTCTTATGCAGTTCTCACACCTGCATCCCATGAAGAGGATCAAGGCCCTCTCCTCCTGAGTAGACCATGTCTTTCCCTGATCCTCTCCTCCCTGCATGCCCTAGGATGGATAGGGGATGGGCCTGGGTCCTCCTCTGCCTGCTCAGCTGGCCTCTGCCCTTCCCCAGCCTTCTCCACAACCTCTGGAGCCACCCTTCCATTCCCTGTTAGCTGTTTCTCCTCTCCCTCAGAGTCAGTCTCCACCAGGGGCATGACACATGACTGTGGGACTATCTGTTGCCAAGCGTCCGAATTGTGATCATGTGAATTACAGGGATCCTGCAATGGTCATAACAGTGAAAAATGCTCTTAAGTCCCTTTTTTCTGTGCTGTTGTAACTATAAACAATCATTAATCGAACTGTTGTAAGTCGAGGATACCTGTAAGGTCCTTCTTATTAGAAAAAGAATGTCCTTCTGTTCCATTGTTAAAATAAAAAGAGAACACGATTATGTGAAAACAAAAATAATTTTTCCCAGGGAAAAGAAGGTCTAGGGGGGACATGATAGCAGTACTCCACTATTTGAGAGCACCACAAAGTGGGGGGAGGGTCAACTTATTTTCCAAAGCACCAGAGAGCAAGACAAGAAACAATGGATGGAAACTAATCAAGGAGAGAAGCAACTTGGAATTAAGGAGAAACTTCCTAAGAGTGAGGACAATTAAGCAATGAAACAGCTTGCCTTCAGAAGTTGTAGAAGTTTCAGTGCTGGATGTTTTTAAGAAAAGAGTGGACAGCCACCTGTCTGAAATGATATAGAATCTCCTTCTTGAGCAAGGGGTTGGATTAGAAGACCCTGAAGATCCTTTCCAGCTCCATTCTGATTGATTGAAAAACAATGGCTGTTATGTATATGTATATATTAAATAGCAGCCTCTGGAGTAAGAGTAATCTTAGGATTTTGGGGGAACATGGGTACAAACCAAAAGTTATGAGATGCATATGCAGATATCCATTAATGCAGTTCTTCAAAATTAATTAAAAATTAAGATGCCAATATTCATGGAAAGCAGGAATCCTAAATTAAAGATCTCTTCGTCTACCCCACCAGAGGCTGAAACTAGTGATCCTCAGCTAGTGTTTTTTTTTTCCTTTGTATCAGCTCATGGCTGCTTCTTCTTCTTTTCCCCCAGGAGCAGCCTTATTCTTGCCTCTGGTTTTAAAATGTGAAGAA